TTTTAAGCTCAAGCTCATCTGATTATTTCATAAAAAACTTGCACCGATTATTATTGTACTCTTCCTCGTCAAAAGGGAAATCCTTTAAGTTTGTATCATTTTTTCTCACTTAAAACAACTAAAATTTCAGCTTTTACTTTTTAACTTTAAGTAGCGCTTTAAATCCGCGAATATGTTTATCTTGATGGCTGAAGGCCTAGTTTCGAGATTTTTACCCCAGACCCCTGTACTATTCCTCTCCAACTAGTTCGACCGGATGCACTTGGCACATAAGCCAAAAATACGCTTGAGTTTGAGTATACTGTCCCTTTGATTGACTTACTTATTCCATTTTGTGAGTAATGACTCAGTAATTCGGTATTTATCGCCGGAAACTATCCACCCAGTTTTAGTCAATGGTTCTTCTAGTACCTACACCTGATTCCAACACCTTAAAGAGATTATTCTTCTCTAGGCCGGCCGATGCCGCACACTCTACACATCACACCAGCTGTCATCAAGGTGCGACCTGGGCAGGATGTGAGTCTCCTTTGCTACTCCATGCAAATGGACCGTCGAACCCGTGGACCCCGTCCAAAGTTGCGAGCTTTCGATACTCGTCTGCCACTCCGTATCACCGATGCCCCTGATGGTGCTGTCAGTGGCTCCGTTATACGAATCGATCCGTCCTTCAACGGAACTATCATTGAGTGCTTCTCTGATGTAAGTCCATCAAAACAGGGCGAACATGGGTTTGGAGCCATTCTAATTCAAGATTAATGGGAGGTATATGGAGAGAGCTACTTTACAAATGAACACCGCTATTTGTTAGACTGAATTCGTAGTTTATACATACTGGTCTGATTGCACGGATATCAATGCCACTGGAATTATTAGTTCCCCTACTTATTAAAACTCAATCATAGTCGTCACATTCACAATACACATTTTCGTCCCGTTGAATAAGATGCCCGGTGTAGAACCAGTGAGAGCAACCATTCAAGTTGAAGACGTCTGTCCACCCGGTTATCGCCGTTGTCGCAATGGCGTATGCCTCGAGGCCGGACGCTTCTGTGATGGAAATCGTGACTGTGTTGACGGTAGTGATGAGGATCAGGCTCTTTGTTGTAAGTCTTGCGAATCCTTTGGCCATCTTCTACCATTCAGGAAGGCAGCCCACCTTAATCACATCTGGTATTTCTCAATTAAAATGATGCGTTTTTAATTACAGCTGTTTGTGATCCAATCGTGATGAAATGTGAGACGTATCGTGGTCAGCCGCCCCGCAAGGGGTCCTACATGGTTCACTGGCAGTGCGATGGTGAGGATGACTGCGGTAACGGCTTTGATGAAGCCAATTGTCAGGGTAGGCCTGCCAATTATGCTAAATCGCTCAAGCATACCTTGTGTCTGGTTAATTGACTTAACTGCTCTTTGTGTTGCAGACCCAGCAATTAATTTCTGCGTGAAGCAGCAGTACACTTGTCCCTTCTCCGGTCTCCAAATTCCTCGTGCCTTCATGTGTGACTCCGATCCCGATTGTGACCGCAACGAGGATGAGGAGCAGTGTAGTAAGTTTTACTGCTTACAAAGAAAATAAAATTGGGTTTTTCTCAAAGACTGTTATTAACTCGCCTGGGGAACATTCGCAGGAGAACCACAAGTTCTTGATGCACCCAGAAGCCAGTATGCTTACCGTCGTGGTGATACGGTAACCTTGACCTGCGAGGTCGCTGGTCGTCCCAACCCGCGTGTCATTTGGCGCTTCAATTGGGGTTGCCTGCCTGACGATGGTCGTCGCATGACTGTGCGCAACTTCGCGGAGAATTGCGGAACTCCCAACGAGAAGACCGTCTCCACACTGACTATCAGTAACTTCATGCCAGGCGATGATGGCATCTACAACTGCGAGGGTCTCAATGGACTCAAGCGCGCAATGTCACGGGACTACACTGTCATTCTCACCGACTAAGATGTTTTTAACTTATGCACCGCAATTAGTTGTAAGTCGTTTGACTAGTATGTCTACGATCTTCCCTTTAGAGTAAATAAGGTGATAATTTGCCAATCCTATTTTTCTTTTTAGACGTTTCTTCTCACCTAGTGGATTTCCCTCGCATGCATCACCACCTCACATAAAATAAACACTCTTTAAATGCTAATAATATGCAACTTGACAATTTAATGTTTTCTTTTTAAAGAGACTGATCTCATTTCAAAGGCCCTAGATATATTTCCGTTTGTTTTGTTAGGACTGTTAGATTTCTATGGTTTGCCCCACTCTCTTTCTTATCTGTGTTTCCGTTTTTTCACTTCTGCCCTTATTATCTCTCTTATAGGAAATAATCACCGTTGATAATGCATCATGCATTTTACCTTTGAATGTGTTCTTAGTTGAGACGCCTACATTGGGTGCCCCGAGCGGGAATTGTAAATGAGGGGAGGCGCAAATTGCCCTACGAAATAAGGAATGGGTGTGTTCCGATTGGACTTCGTCAGCTTTTATCAATGTTTGTGTCCTAATATTTTTACATCGTGGCATGCATTTTGAAGGGTGAATTGAAAATTAATTATTTAGTGAACTGATAAGCTTCCAAACCCGTATTAATGGCCCAGACTTATTATCTGTCCTACTGCCGCAGGCAGATTGGAAAACTGATGAGTTATAACAAGTAAGTAGTGAGAATTCGCATCTATTCGATACAGATTCGTCCAAGCAAAGTGATTACGTCTGAGATTGCATGAGTGGAGAGCTCCGAGACTTCCTTAAAGATGAAGGAAGACATAACACTAGGGCAGAATATGTATTGCCGACGTACGGAAGGACCGAGGGGAGGAGTTAATGGCACGGTCCGGAGGTCATGCCGCCTAACGGAAGTATAAAGGCGGAGCCCTAAGTATCAGCAAAAAGGAAGAATTAAGTAAGCGATTAAAACATTGCATAGGCCCATCTCCTTTTGATCGTCATCCTCGGCGCCCCCTCGGTCAATCTCCCGTGTTGGCCTCTACAGCGGAGTCGGTGGTGTAGGAAAAACCTATGAACTTGTCACTCTAATCACGAAATTTCGGTACTACTGAAAAGATATCTGCCCTCGACGTCACTGATTTCTCTTGGCAATTCCATTGGATCTAAAATTTCCTCTTGGTTGGAAACTCTATTGGATGAAGGAGGAATATGCTTTTATCTGATGTGCTCATCACTGGTTGTAAGAGCGCCAGCCTAAAAGCAGCGACAATTAATAAAGGAGGACGTTTAAAATAATTTCGTGGAATAGTAAATCACGTCTGTCCCTCCTTGCCGCTTTGTCCTCACTTCAGTGCTGCCCATCGAAACCTATCTGGATGCCGTCCAGCTATAGAAGAGGTAAGGGAGGCACTGCGTTTTCACTTAATTAACATCCCCATACACGTACAATTCAAGGCTAGTGTCGCCAGTGTCAGTTGCTAACAGCATTCCTGCAGAACGCGCTATTCGCGTAGCTGTCGAAGGTAGACGTCATTTTTAACCCTCCAGTCTACAGCATATACTCTTCTTCCGTCAAATTGAGATTTGGAGTCCAGGACAAAAAATCAGCGATTGTTCTTTATGTTTGGTTTTGCTTTCTGATGACAACACTGCAGGGTCCAGAGATTTCCTTGAAGATGAATTTTAAGCCGTTTTTTCTGGGCAGAATATGTATTGCTGACTTACAGAAGGGCTGGAGAGGGTTTACTGGCATGCATTTCAGGTTAAGCAGCTCAACGAAGGTACAAGGCGGAGCCTTAAGTGTCAAAGAAATCAAAAAAGAAGAGTTACCCAGAGAATCAAAGCATTACAAGATCAACATATTGATGAGCTCACACTGTTTTGTCACTTCACCCTCGAGGTGCTTCGAGTAACCAGTAGAACAGAAGTTGAATGAAGGTAGCAGGCTCTAGACGGTTCTAAGTGTTAGACTCAAATGTAATGCTTGAGGGCGACAGATGGTGCTGCGAAAGATGGTGCAATCAGACTGTGACGATCAACACGGAGAGGCTGTCTGTGGTATCATGAGTGTCTCGCCAAACGATTTTAACAGATATTTTTACAATCATGCTCTTCTCCGCCTCCCATGGCGAATTCAATAAAAATGATTTTCTACAAGTATAGAAAGATTTCAGCACTAAATGAAGTCATTTATCGTATTTCTAATCTTTATAGGAAATAGGAAATTTTGCCAAGGTGAGCGTGTCGTAAGCGTTGCCAATGACAGCAGTGGAGCTTGAACACTTTGATCCCCACTCGGTGCGATTACTGGATGATATTTAAGGTGTATGCAAACACAATTTATTGCACTTTTGATTATCTTATGAAAACCCATTTTTAATTTAAGGAAAGGGCTCAAGATCAAGACAAATATTCTTGGCTTTTGGGAAGAAGCCCTGTTAGTCACCCTTACTCCCATGCACAAATGCCGGCTACCAATGAGGGATTACTAGCCAGGAATGAACAAAAGAGCCTTGTTTTTAACAGTCTTGAGAGCTTTTTACCTTCTTGAAATGATGGTGACAACGTTTGTGGGAGCATTCGATTTCGGAAGTTCCTCCCTCGTAGGGAGGTAAAGCCTGATAAACCACGTTTTACTGTCACTTATTTTTTTACACTTGTTGTGAGCATAAAATAATGCAACTCTTCTGGTCGATTGTTAAATTGGACAAAGTCGAAAGGTAATGCCAAAATTAAACTTGCTGAACATGTTCAATTAATCAAAGTTTATGGGTGATCAGCGGAAGAAAAATTATCGGCCTGAGACCTTCCTGAAGCTATAATGCCAGAGGAGAATGCGTACTGTCGGCGTACCGAAGGACTGGGGGCTAGTAAGCATGGCCTAAAGGCTAGGTCACCCGACTAGGATGCAAATTCGGAGCCTTAAAGCGGCTTTTTACTAATGCCGAGAGTTAAACAAGCAATTAAAGTTTCACAAAATCACTGGTTGGCAACTAGACGGAAGGTAAAATAAAAGTGCCTAAGTAGAAACTTTATCGCTGAATGAAATGAAGATTCGAAAATCGGCCCCGATGGGTCTCAAGAAAAAACTAAACGAGATCTCCTTTAAGATCTCTGGTATATCAGGCCCAAAAGGCCGACTAGATTGGCTGAAATTGTCAGCATAGTAGGGATGGACACCATTTGAAGGGAAGGGCTAGATCGCTTCAATGCGTGCAGGGAGCGGAGTAATCAACGTGCTAAAGCCATGCGTGAAAATGAATTTGCGTAAAGATAGGATGCTGCTCCCATTTTACTCCCTCAGCCAAATCTCCATGCATTTGGGAACCAAAAAAAGTAAATGTTGACATTGGCGCTAAAGGCTAAAATTGGTACAATCTGTCACTTTCAACGCAATAGCGCCGTACCAGCTATTTCAGTGCGTACCCAGGCATGCTTTATTAGGCAAAAAATTATTCTGTAAGGCAAAAACATTATACCTACGCCTGGATACAGTTTTCATTCTAAATTCACAAACTACTGCAGAAATTATTATTTGCCTTTTCGCATGAGCCCCTTTGCCCTCACTCCAATTACACAGGCCGTTGGTATGGCCTGCGGATGCATTAGTCACCGGGATAGCAGCATGCCAGGTATTCCAGACTTGCCGCTTAGTCATTAGCCAGGCGATGCCATCGCAAGGCCCATTGCCAGCGTTTTTGTGCTACTCCGGGCCACAGACACACCTCCACTGCGTAAGACAGTACCACACTAAACTAGTTAAACGTCGGGTAACTGAGGCCAGGGAATCAACCCAATGGACATCCCTTCTTTCACTCAATGTAGGGCTGTTTAATTCTCCTGCTACCCCGATCACCTTTTCAGATGGCGGTTAGCACCAGGGTGACTAAGAATTTCGCGTAAGGCCGGCTCCTTTGGTCGGCGAAAGGGATATTTTTTCCCAAAACACAACGCTACTGCTAACCATATCTTCATGATTTTCCGGAAAAAAACTAAATCTTACGAATTCTTTCCAGGGAACATTTAATAGAATTATTTAAAGAAGGAATTGCGTGGGTACCTTTCCGTGAAAACTCGGTTTAGGAAATAAGATTAAAGAAAAAACTTCCTGAAACCGTAGTTAATCACGATTTTCAATGACAACCTTTAATGGCTGACTAGGCAAATGATTAACCTGATCACTTAGGCAAACAATCGTGTCATTGAAATTTATGCGGGATTTAGATCAATTTTGCAAATAGAAGCTTCACATGGAGCGCAAAGAGCCTGTCCCAAATACCATCCACTTTGCGTGTGTTCCAACAGTCTGCAAGTTTGCCCAGTTGAATGGATTTCTACAACTACTTTAGCAATACAATGTCCTCGGTTTCATTCGATGAGTCTATGTTTTCGTTTGAATTTCTTCAATAAAAATCAAAATCCACAAACTTCAAGTTTCACTATCCAATCAGTAGAGGCTGAAATGGGTGCAACTGTGTCCTGGAGGCACACAAACTACAGGCATTTACGAGGCCACCCATAAATGGAGAGGAATTGACTAAGGTGTTTTTAAATCCCATCCACAGAAACGCGTGCGCAGCGGGCTGTCGGTGCCCATCGCACCTGCGGCGGTCATCGATTTTCCCCCACCAGTGTGCACGCCCCTCCGCCTACGCCCTCTAATTGGACGCTGAACGAGCGGGTTAAGTCAGGGTGTGTGTGCACAGCTATCCATAAATGGGCATGATGGAGGGGTATAAGAAGCGCTCGTTGGGCCACCAGTAGCACACTTGGACAGGGGTAGCGCT